CGAACCCGCGACCCGCAGACTGCGAGTCGAGCGCCCTAACTACCTGGCCATGCCGGGCATATATGAAAGGAATAAGTTTTAATGTTTTTTTATTTTTTCAAAATAGTATCTTACAACAAAATTTTGGATATTTTATAACCTGTTGTGCCTGTGTTGTTCTAATAATGGCATACTCATTTTCTTGTTTATTGATACATGCTCATACATGCAAAAAAAGTAAATATTAAAAAAATATTACTTAGAAAGTTTCATTAAAACTGCAGGAATATTCTTATAAGAGAAAATGTAAGGTAAGGATATTTATCGTTAGTGAGATTGGTAAGCTAGGTGTCGTGTGACAACAAACTTATCAGATGACACCAAAGCATTTTTTATTTGGTGTATTAATAAATTTATAATTACTCAAATAACAAATACAAGAACTACTTAGTTGTTGAAAAAAACTATAATTACATAGAAATTGAACGAAAATGTAGTTGGAAAAATATCCCCTATCAGAATAATTTGAAACAAAAAATAAAAAAAAATGTCTAAACTATGGTCTTCATGCAGTTCCAATAGATCAAATAGTCAGGGAATAACATATTTTGGTCTGAGAAAGGTCTGAGCAATATCAGGGAATTATATTCTATCCAAATTGTGGAAACCATGATATAAACATATTGATGTGTTAAATGTGCCAGAATTAACATGTATGATAATTTATTTCTTTGCCATCCCAGAAGCATCATTAAATCACATGAAATTCACCAACTCTTTTAGTCTATAAAATGAAATTCTCTAATGATTTCCAGGCCAGGAATGCAAAACATAAAATTAACTAACTTTTCTCAGTTTTCCTGACTCATGTTAATCATGTTGAATACAATAAGGTATAATATTAAAAAAAAAAGAAAAATATTTGTGTCATCTTAATACTTTGTCATTGTTAAGGTCGTATGAAGAACAAGAAGACTGATGTACATAAAACAATGTTTATGCATAAAATATGCATATTGATGTGTTAAATGCGCCAGAATTAGCATGTATGATATGCATTCATACTCCATGACAATACTGAATAAATATAAGTACAGATACGAGTCCAATTATTTTTATTCTGGTATAGCCAATGGATTTAGACACAATGAAAAACACTTACAAACTGCCTGTGCTCGACTATACCAGCACTACACAATTAATAATTAATTTATCAATCTGAAGAGCATACCATGGTCTGAAAGCACATAGTTTCAAAACTACAACAAAACAATTAATCAAGCTGCTTATCCTCACTTTTGCCTTCAATCTCTATTCTTCCCTCCTCCTAACATCTTAATTGTTTCTTGACAAACAGTAAATGTTCCTAATATATTACTCATATATGTGATTCATTAAATTATACATTATTAGGTAAACACAATATATTGAGTTATTCACTTGCACAAGTACAACTGCTTCCACAATCATTCATGGATATAAAATAGCATCATATTCTCAGAAATCTTTACATGTGACATATTATTAGTTACTATCAATGAAACATTCTATATTTGAATAATTTTTTTTCCCAAAATTTTTTTATCTCCAAATTACTGATATTATAGATTGCCATCCATATTTTGTTTTATAAAGGTTTTCTTTAACTGTCACTAGTGATATTCTACCTTTCTCTGGGAGATAACATCTGTCAAGGGCTCCAGCCCAAGCTGTACTAAATATTCTGACATTGTGTACTATTGGTAATGCATAGTGATGTATTTTGTTTTATAACAAATTTAAAAAAAATTACTGATAAATTATTATTTAATAGACTTATTATATTTATTTTTCATAATTAAGTGAGTAAATATAAGTACAGATATGAAACAAAAACTCACTAAACTGTATAGATTTTTTTGATCTTTTGACTGACAGGCTTTACCAAAATAATCAAACTGTTTGTTTTGATATCTTTCAAATCTTTCCTACAGAAATATGTCAATAATGTTACACACCCTTCAATGAATACTGAGTTGGGGACTGTTTTATTAATGCACTAAAATTTGTAAGGTGATAATAACTTACTTAATGGAAACAGCCTATCTCTGAATAGTGCTTTGTTAAGAACTTTTAGTTTTAGTCTGTAGTAAAACAATCGTCCATGACCAAGTTTTAAGAAAACGAGACAAAGCTTTGTCCAGAGCCCTTATGCTTCATTTAGGCAGAAGCCTAGCTAATATTTATGTAATCTACTACAGCTGTCTTCATACTCCATGACAATAAACAGTAAACAAAAAAGACTGGTGTACCTGCTTATTCCAATTAAGCATGCTGGTACCAAGCCCAGATAACTAATGAGGGTTACCATCAGAGGTGGCCGGGCCACCGGGAGTAAAAACCAAACTATGAATATTAGATCTAAGAAGACCCATGCAGCTGTCTGCATATCAGAATAGGATTAAGGTTGTATGAAGAACAAGAAGACTGAGTACATAAAACAATGTCTGTGCATAAATATATGCATATTGATGTGTTAAATGTGCCAGAATTAGCATGTATGATAATATATTTCTTTGCCATCCTAAAAACATCATTTAATCACATGAAATTCACCAACTCTTTTAGTCTGTAAAATGAAATTCCCTAACGACTCCAGGCCAGGAATGCAAAACATAAAACTGAGTTTTCTCAGTTTTCCTGACTCATGTACAATATTAAAAAAAAGATCTGTGTCACCTTAATACTTTGCCATTGCTAATCATATTTGCTAAACCTAACTAAACTTATTTGATGTCATAGAAGAATATTCCTGTAGCTTTTAGACAGATAGAAGTTAACACAAATACATAATCATAATGAAAATAAATTATAAAAAATTCCAAGATTTGTTGTCAGTTGTAAATTTTGCATTAGGATCCTCTGTTCACCTCTAGGAGCTACAGGTAGCTAACATGTCTACAAATCATAAGTTATTGTTAATACCACTTTATTTACTCTCCACTGACCTACATACAGATGATTGATTACATTATATTAAAACAATTTTGAATATACAAATCAGCAAGTCACATGACAACTAGAGCTGGTATGAAGTTGCAGAAGAATGCCATGTATCCGAACTACCATTTGACACTGCTTGGCATTTCATAGGTAGTGCAGTACCACCAAAATTAATTGCTTTTGGAAAGTGTACGTAAGGACCATTTCTGATGTAAAATATTCATATACTCAGATCATAAGGATATGTTCAGATCAGGAATTTAGATTTTCCGAGACATATATCCCTCGTACATAATGGAAAAAATGAAAAGGAAAATCGATCAGTTTGAGACACCAGGACAATCCAAACATATATGCAACAAGTCATACCCAAGTCGTGGTAAGCAAAGTGTGCCATCTTGTAACATGTGAGAATCTATAACTAAAGAGGTCATTGATAAAAGCCATCCATATGCCCAAGGTAGCAAAACATAATCAAGTAGGATCTCTCTCCAGAAAAGTGCCACAAGTTATGTGTACACAAGTTGCTTGCACAACATGTTCAGGAAAGGAAAATCTACTGTAGAAAACTGTGTGAATAATACCTAGCCGGTAAACGGCAATACATGTTGACATTCACTGAAATGCACCTTGATAACTGTAAAAAATCTCATGCTATTTTCTCCTCATCAGTAGAAGAAAATAAATAAAAATTCAAAAGTGTGACAACATGTTGCAAAAATATTTGAAGGAAATCATGATCACTGCTGGATACTGCACCACGGGTAAGTTAGGGATAAGGGGAATGGATTAAAAGGTCAAGGTGTACTATGCTTACTATCAGACCTTGTTTTGGACTTTTTGTACTATCAGCTATGTACAGAAATGAGACAAACAGGATTGGGTTAATCAAAATAAATCTTTCAGTCATACCTCTCATTTCATCATTGCATAATTTAAGCAGCTGGAGAATTAACAGTATTCATACTTTTTCATATGAAAACATACTGGTCTAATTGCTGGTTGCAATGCATATGGATTTCCATCATAGGTCATACAGACCCAGAGATTTTTCTCTGGGACTTATTCAGATTTTAAAGGATATTTTTGCAAAAATAACTTCATGTCTTGTTTTAAAACATTAATGAAAATTATACAAAACTAATCTTTAGGATGCACCAGTATTTTTTTATGTAGGCAAAACTAACAACAGAGTAAATATAGATAAATGATACACAATAAATAAAATAAAATACATGTGAGTGAATAAAAAAGTATGGGGTGATTTGAAATAAAAGAAATAATTTTTTCTTTTTATTGGTACTAAATTACTGGTTAAAAAAAGAAAGAAAGAAAGAAATGGAGGTAGGGTGTGAGTGTGAAATTTAGGTCACTGTAAGAAACCTTAAAAAATAAAACAACAGTTAGTCAGAATGAAACATTAAATGAAAGAAAATTTTAAATTCAATCATGATGGAGAAAGGGTTCATATGAGGAATGATCAACTGGAACAGACCTTAAGACAAGTAATTTGAATGTGAGAGATCATACTTGTCATCACAAAAACATTGGAATAGTAGCTGATTGATGTTACTGTTAATACAGCATGTATCTTCTCTTTTCTCAAATTCTCTCACTATCTTTGCTATGTCTCACCCATATAGAAAATATTGCAAATATCACAAATGATGCAGTACCAGACAGATTTGGATTGACATTTGAAAGATTTTTTTAATCTGAAAACATTGTTCATCTGCTGTCATATGGTTGTGGAAGTTGTAATATTTTTATTAGTTTTAATTTCATGACTATGAAGTATAAACATATAAACATTTGTAATTTTTGACAGTGAAAACATACTATTAGTGAACATTTTTAATGGCCAAACTTTGTCATTTTTGAGTGTTTGACAGTACACCAGTGTAATTTTTTTATCAATTTCTATGATCAGACAGACTGCAGCTTTTTGAGAAATTGAAACAAATTTCTGACAATTTTTTACTTGATAAATTTTTCTAAAAGTTTAGACCAAATTATGACCATATTCATCACTTTTTTGGTTTAATTTTTTTTTCTCTAACACCAAATATTTCAAAACAGAATAAAAAATACCAAGTGTTTTTCTTACTCCCTCAAAATTGCTAAAATTCATTGTTCCCCCCAAGATTCTCTACCAGGTGCTGCTCTGGGCCAGCAATGAGGTATTAGTGTGCCCCTCAACCCCCCACCAGTTGCACCTCTTCAATCTTCACTTGATCCTCATATGTCAAGTTAGAGAGAATCTGCTCACACCACAGCAAGTGCTTTTTTAGGATACCAGAATGGTGAATATAGCAACTGCATACCATAGTAAATTCATCCTGGCTATAAAAATGTGTTAATAATACATTTTTTATTGCAAAAAAGTAAAAAACCACTGGAATAAAGTTGAAAAGTAGACCATTCTTATTTCTAGGAAAAATTCAAGAACTGTTTCAGCAAGAATCTTTTTTTCTTTAATCCAGGACTTTTCCAGGTTAAAAACCTAAATTTATGAAATTTCAGGACTCATCTAAAATTCAGGGAGTTTTCCAGGTGTGTGTGTAATGAACTATTGAAATGCATCTGGAGAATGAAATGGGTATTCATGCTGCTCCATACAAAGACATACTGGTCAAGTTGCTAGATGCAGTGTCTAGGGATTTCTATAGGATTGGACTGTTAAAGAGTATTGGAAAACCATCATTCTCGTATACTAGGTAGATTATTTAAAGCTTGAAGGGAGGAGTGATAATGCTTTAGACATTATAATGGAAACTCTGTTACTGGACTATTTTTAAGATACATAGTTGCCAGATAGAGCACCAATGGATGTGGTGACATGGGATTGAACTATATGGCAAGACTCCAGACATTTTAATATAATGCACTCAAGAATACATTAGAATACTTTCTATAAGAAAGTTTAGCTTTTGGCTCTAGTGCTTTTCAAAGCTGAGCTTCATTAGTACTTTTTCAGATCACATGCTGTGACATCATAAAAGAATAGCAACATTAGTAATAAAAAAACCTTGTCAGACAAGGAATATGACTTAAAAAAACATGGATCATTATATTTTTTATGGACTGACATCTTAGCAAATATAAATTTATAATTTGTGATGAGCAAACAAATCAACAGATGCACTGTTGACAGGTGAGACTCCTCAGAGATTCATAGAAATTAAAGTTTGATCATTTTTTTTCATTTTTCTTGTGCAATACACTAAGTAAATGTCTTATTATGCTGAAATGTCAAATCTACAATATTTCTCAGTGAAATATTTTTTTAAAAATAAGTTCCAATCTTTTAATTTGGTAAGCAGGGATGCACTTGACAACTGAAATGTATACACTGCTCCACACTACAATTAACAATTTCTAATAGAATCAATTTAAAAATAAAAACAATGTTTTTTGTGTTTTTAAAATATAACAAACTAGACAAAGCACTGGTTAAGGGAAGGAAATATTTGTGAAATTCTTTGTTAACTCTCACAAGTTTATAACAAAGCAAGTGACTCCTACTCAGTCTTACCAAAGTCCAGTATCTTTGTAGCAGGTGTTGAAAGACTGAAAGCTGTGGCATAGGTTACCCAATGTTGCAGCTTGCCCAAGTTTACTTGCCACATTCTACAAATAAAAAAAGAAAGCATCATATTAAAAACAACCTAAAAGTGGAAGAAATGTTGGTATAGGACATTTACACAGACCAATAAAGAACAATTAACCACATACTCATAATTATATAGTTTTACTGTCCTTGTCTTATATTAACTTATTAACATTGTTAGTTAACTTATTCCAATATAGTTTCGGTAACATAAAATATTTATTAACTTTCAATTTAAATCTTGCTCATTTAATAAAGAAATATCATAAATGGGTAAATTCTTCTTATTTGGTTACAACAATAACAAAACTTAAAAACAAATACTGTTATTTCACAAGTACACATTTGGAGTTCTTAAAACTGAATATACACAACATTAAGATGGAGTTTGCAAGAAATTAAGATTTTATATTTTGACAAAATGATACAAAAGAAACACTCAATGAAAAACCTTGAAAATATTTAAGGATTACTAAATCATGAAGTTTTACTGTAAAATACTATAATTTTATAAACAGAATATTGCAAAAGTCTTTTCAAACGATGTGACAAGTATGGAAAATGTTTAAAAACAGAATGTGTTAATTTTGTATTCATTGTGATGTTTCCAAATTCAGCTGCAATGAAATATGCATTGGCTATAAAAATAAAATTTATTAACTAGAATTGAAAAATGTTTAACTAAAACTTACTGAGCCTCCTCCATGTGATCTATCCCAACTTCCAATGAGCTAGATTGAAAAAAAATTTCTTATGAAAAAAAACAAAAACATACCTGTTTTTAAACACTTTTTGAAATAACGTTTCTTATTTATAGCTAGAAATGTAACAGGATCTAGTTAAAATGCTATTTTGCTTAACAATTTATACTTTCTAAGTAAAGATGGGCAGATATTGGAATTTGCTAATCAATTAATTGTTGGTCTCATTAATCGATTTCATTTGACTAGTCAAATATTCTCATACAAGACTAATCTTCCTATTTCTAGCTTTAAAGATATTTTCAAGTCAGGTATAACAATGTATAATTAAGTTCCTTCTTTTATCCTGAACTGTTGGATCATATGTGCACATTGTATGAAGCCTGTAACAAACTGAAAATATAATTAGCTCTTCCAACACGGG